AATATATATATATATATATATATATATTATATATATATATATATATATATGTGTGTGTGTATATATATATATATATATATATATATAGATGACTAATTATGTCCTATTTCATTTCACCAGAGCGACATGATGGATGCCCTGGCCGCCTTGTTCAAGCGTGATTGCAGCACTTCTACCGATTATCTTCTAGATGTGTTGGAATGTGCAATACGGACCGTTGTTCTTTTAGACACGCACACAGCTATAATGTTGTTTGACAGAAAGCAACAGACGTACTTTCTATATTTTCTGTCCTCTTCTTCTCTCAGATTGCATCTATCTGCAGTGTGGACGGCTCCATATCGTCAACAAGTGGTCCGACTGCCGGTGCTTGTCGCATGCTTTTGGCCTCGATAGAAGAAGACCTTAGTGAGCTGGAAATTTTTTAAACCGATGTAACATCGATAAAATTCCCAGCTGGATTGCTGAATATACTCCAAACGTCAGTCGATATGAAAATGCTGTTGAGAGCCACCCGTACTGCTCTTCTAAAGGTTCGTATATTTAGCGTTCAAATCAGTAGACCTCAGGTTATTGGATCATACGCCCAGGGTTTTTAGGGGTTTTGCGTCGTATATATGAAATGAAGGCTGAAACTAACATGATTATTTCATTTGTACTTTCAGGACGCAATTGATTCTAGCGAGCTGGCGCGAGGAGAAGAGTATTGGGCATGTGACGCCGCTATTCAAACATTGCTTCGGTTGTGAGCTGCATACGTTAATCTGCAATTAATACGTTATGACCGTTTGACACATATAAATTATATATACAGTGAGAATGAGGACACGCCGCCGATAAGTGAAGATGCCTATACCTTCGAGTCAGCCCTATTCAGGCTCGAAATGGAGGTCCCATGCAGCGATGAGTGGTGGCAAGATGTGTGGCGAGATGTCTGCGCCGAGTCTACATCCGTTGGGCAGAGTGCAGGAAACGACAGTGAAAACATTCCGGTATGTATTATTTGAGATTTTAAATATGTAAATTTTATCTTTGTATGTGTTCCTTATTTTCTCTTTTCTATCTTAACGGCTGCAGCTTGATCCATGGCAGAAACTGACTTCCGCAGCCGTGCAGGATAAAACAACTCCTATTGGCGGGTATACTAGTGAGCAAGAACTGGAGTCGGGAGACGCCAGCCAAACGCACTCTCTCCGTGATATCGAAATCGAGAACTTGAAGATGATTAATCGTAGTTTACTCGAAGTCAATAATAATTTGAAGGTGGAGCAACAAGCACAGGTGTGTTTTGCCGACAATACATATGTTTATGTCGTCTGTATGTATTTTCTGTCAAATGTGTGGCTGAAGTTACTTGCATTCAGTTCTATTGAACTCCATGTGGAATTTATGCAAGAGCATCTGGACAGGTCACTAAACATACAAGCTTTGCTTAAGAAGGAAGTACTAAAAACACTTGCTTAAGAGGGAAGTACTAAAAACACTTGCTTAAGAAGGAAGTACTAAAGCTGCACGAGATATTGGGCTTTGTTTCCAACTCATATTGTTTGTATTTATTCCATAATCGCCATTAGTTGAAAACTGCTTATGGGAACTTGGATGCCGCTGCGGCAGAAAACGATGCTTTACGCGATGAACTAAAGTCTCGCCCTAGTCTAGAGGAGCACATACGACTGCAGGATGATATCAGCACGCTAAGAGAAAATAACCACACATTACAGCAACATAGTATTGTGATGGAGGTTCAACATCGCGAAGAGGTAAGTATGTTATATATACAAATCTTCCTTCATTTGTATAGTTTTTGCTGTGGTTGTTGTACATATTTCAAAGGGGATAGTAGATTCTTTGTTTTCAACTCATATTGCTTGTATCTGTTTCGTATTCGATCATTAGTTGCAAACTACTCATGGGAAATTGGCTCTCGCTGCGGCTAAAAACGATACTTTACGCGATGAACTAAAGTCTCGCTCTAGTCTAGAGGAGCACACACGATTGCAGGATGAGATCAGCACGCTAAGAGAAAAGAACCACACATTACAGCAACATAATATTGTGATGGAGGTTCAACATCGCGAAGAGGTAAGTGTGTAAAAAAGAAATAATTATTCCTTCTTTTGTATAGTTATTGCTGTGGTTGTCTGTATTTCATTGTATGTACTTCTGCCTTTTCGAGCTTTATTGATGATAATAGAGGATATATGTGAACGACTGAGGAGGAAAGTATATATACAATGAAATAATTTACTTTTGAGTATCTTAGCGCATAGAAGTTTTACGTTATCGTCAAGGGTTTAAAATTTAGATACGCTACTATTGTGCATTTCAATCCGAATAAATTGTTTCTTGGCTGATATTTATCTTGCAGATGAGTTATCTAAAATCGAAACCGACTACACTGCATGCTGATGACCGCAAATCTGTCAAGCGCAGTAGGGATTTTGAAGAGGAAGAAAACAACGTTTCAAACGGTAATAAGTCGCAAGCTTGTTGTATTCGAGTATCAGAATTCAAATTCCTCACGTCGTTTTTGTACTTCTTTTTCTTCCTTGCATATTCACAAATTCATGTGCAATGCTACTGTATTTTATTTCTTATAATAGCTAATGATGACATGTATCCGCGACTCGGTTGGTTCAAGCGTCTAAAGTTCGATCACGGTACTTCGCCAGCAGACCCTCGGTTTTGTTCACCAACCAGTTGCTGTGGACCCGATTTTGGAAATGATGTTGGAAGGATCTGAATAAGCGAGCTCTGGCGAAACGCGGCTGGGTTTAAACGGCTATTATTTTTTGCTTCAAGAGCGAGGGGATAAGTTCGACAAGGAAGAGTTTGACCGAGAATTATTAAGGAGAGCGAAAAGGAATAGCTTTATGACGAAGTTTAAGAATCGTATACTTAAAAGTCGCGGACGAGGATCCAAAACCAACTCACACATTGTACTGGAATGCTGGTGAACACCAACATGTGAGATTGTACTGGAATTGACTGGAGTTTTCTCATCATATACTATAGTCCAAAGTACACGAAAACCTGGAGGTTTGACCGATAATTAATAATAAGAGTGAAAAGAAAAATCTTTATGATTTAGTTTAAGAGTCGTATGCTTAAACGTCGCGGATGAGAATTCAACCCCAACTCGCACGTTGCACTGGAATGCTGGTGAGCACT